AAGACTCCTATCTCCAATAAACCACCAGAAAACCGGAAGTGGCGCTGTAGCTCAAGTGGTAGAGCGCTCGCCTTGAGCTGAAGAGCTGAGGGACAGCGCCCAAGCCCAGAGTTCAAGCCCCACGACCGACAAAAAAAAAAAAAAAAAGCTCTGAGTGGCAGTTTCTTTCAAAATTGAACAAAGGTATATATGTGATCCAACCAGTCCATTTACTGTTATAGGCAAAACTGGAAGCAGCTCAAATATTTGTCAATAGGTAAATGGATAATTTGTGGCATATTTATGCAAGGAAACAGTACTCAAGAATAAAAAGAACTAATTACAAAGTCACAACTTGGTGAATCTCAATAATTACTTTGAATTTAAAAAAATATTGGAAGCCAGGCGGCGGTGGCTCACGCCTGTAATCGTAGCACTCAAGGGGTTGGGAAAGTGGCTTAGTGGTAGACTGCTTGCCTAGCATGGATGAAGCCCTGGGTTCAATTCCTCAGTACCACATAAACAGAAAAGGCTGGAAGTGGCACTGTGGCACAAGTGGTAGAGTGCTAGCCTTGAGCAGAAGCTCAGGGACAGTGCCCAAGCCCAGAGTTCAAGCCCCATGACCGACAAAAAAAAAAAAAAGAAGAGAGAGAGATTAGTGAAGCTGGGTACAAGTGGCTCATACCTGTAATCCTAGCTATTCACAATGCTGAGATCTGAGGATCTTTGTTCAAAGACAGGCAGGAAAGCCTCTGAGGCTTTTTTTTTTTTTTTTGGCAGTCCTGGGGCTTCAACTCAGGGGCGAGGCACTGTCCCTGAGCTTCTGCTCAAGGCTAGCACTCTACCACTTGTGCCACAGTGCCACTTCCAGCTTTTTCTGTTTATGTGGTACTGAGGAATTGAACCCAGGGCTTCATCCATGCTAGGCAGGCAGTCTACCACTAAGCCACATTCCCAGCCCCTGGAGTCTTTTTTTTTTTTTTTTTGTCCATCATGGGGCTTGAACTCTAGGCTTGGGCTCTGTCCCTCAGCTCTTCAGCCCAAGGCGAGTGCTCTACCACTTGAGCCACAGAGCCACTTCTGGTTTTCTGGTGGTTTATTGGAGATAAGAGTCTTATGGTCTTTCCTGCCTGGGCTGGCTTTGAACCTGGATCTTCAGATCTCAGCCTCCTGAGCAGAAGGATTATAGGTGTGAGCCACCAGTGGCCCACCTCCCTTGAGTCTCTTATCTCCAGTTAACCAGCAAAAAGCCAGAGTGGAGGGAGCTGTGGCCCAAGTGGTAAACTGCTAGCCTTGGGCAAAAAAGCTCAAGGACAGCACCTAGGCCCTGAGTTCAAACCCCAAGGGGGAAAAAAAAATCAATGTACACCTTAAGTTATGGAGGATGAATTTAAAGACATGAGAAAATACGATAGGGTTTGTTGTGCGAAGAATTACATTCTCTGCAAAGTTAAATTCTGATTGTTACTCCCGGTAAATGTTAAATATAACCTCTTCTTTTTTTTTTTTTTTTTGTCATAGGGCTTGAATTTTGGGCCTGGGCACTGTCCATCAGCTTTTCAGCTCAGGGCCAGCACTCTACCACTTAAGCCACAGTGCCACTTCCAGTTTTCTGGTGGTTAATTGAAGATAAGAGCCTGCCTTAAGCTGGGCGCCAGTAGCTCACACCTGTAATTCTAGCTACTCAGGAGGCTGAGATCTGAGGATTGCGGTTCAAAGCCAGCCCAGGCAGGAAAGTCTGTGAAACTCTTATCTCCAGTAAACCATCAGAAAACTGAAAGTGGCTCTTTGGCTCAAAGGGTAGAATGCTAGCATTGAGCAGATGAGCTGAGGGACAGCACAAGGGCCAAGAGTTCAAAACCCACAACCGACCACAAAAAAAAAAAAAAAAAGTATCATAGACTTACTTACCTGGACTTTCTTTTTTTATTTTTATTTTATTTTATTTTTTCCGGTCATGGGCCTGAAATCTGGGCCTGGGCACTGTCCCTCAGCTCTTCAGCGCAAGGCTAGTGCTCTACCACTGGAGCCACAGCGCCACTTCCGGCTTTTTCTGTTTATGTGGTGCTGAGGAATGGAACCCAGGGCCTCATGCTTGCAAGGCATGCACTCTACCACTGAGCTACGTTCCTAGCCCCCTTTATTTTTATTTTTTGTCTAGACTCTCTTGAACCATGATCCAGATCTCAGCCTACTGAGTAGCTAGGATTAACCAGCACCCAGCTTGTGTTATGTTTCTTTTGTTTTGTTTCTGAGAGTACAGTTTGAAATCAGGGCTTCACACTTGCTTGATAGTCATTGTATCTATGAGCCACACTTTCTGTCCAAATTTCTGCTTTTAAAAGGCTCCTGCTGATTTTTTCAGAGTAGTCATAGAAAACAAATACAGGATACTATTCATTCTCTTGATTGTAATGATTGTTTCCCGAGTGTGTTAAAATTTATTGACAGGCGTGGTAGCACACACAGCATTAAAGAGAGTGAGGCAGGAATATCACAAGTTCAAGATCAGCCTGGGTTACATGCCAAGACTCTGTCTGGGGGGAGGGGGGGAAGATAGGAAGGGATGGGAAGGGGAAACAAAGGAGGAGGCAACAATGCTTGATAAGACATGTACTCATTATTTTGCCCATGTAATTGTAACCCTTCTATATAGTATTTTCACAATTAAAAAAAAGACTCTGTCTCATAAAACCAAAATAATGAAAAAATCAAATCATGTGTCTAATATATGCATAATTGTACATACTTGTCATTTTTATATGAGTTATGCCTTCATAAATCCAATATTTTTAAATTTTATTTTATTTTTTTTTGCCAGTCATGGGCCCTGAACTCTGGGCCTGGGCGCTGTCCCTCAGCTCTTCAGCTCAAGGCTAGCATTCAGACACTTGAGCCACAGCTCCACTTCTGGCTTTTTCTGTTTATGTGGTCCTGAGGAATCGAACCCAGGGCCTATGCATGCAAGGCAAGCACTCTACCACTGAGCCACCTTCTCAGCCCCAAATCCAGTATTTTTAAAGATCATTTGTAAAGGAAAAGAGGAAAAGTTCTTTGTTCTGAAAGATGAAAAGTCTTTGAAAAGAAAAAAATATAAAAAGCTGCATATGAGGTGGCTCAAACTAGGACTCCTAGACACATGGGAGGCAGATCAGACACTGGTTTGAGACCAGCCAGGCCATTAACATTAATCTCAGTCCATGGCTGGGCATGCCTGTCATGTCATTCCTGTAGCAAAAAGAAGTACAAAGCTAGGCGCTGGTGGCTCACGTCTGTAATCCTAGCTACTCATGAGGCTGAGATCTGAGGATCACGGTTCAAAGCCAGCCTAGGCAGGAAAGTCCGTGAGACTCTTATCTCCATAAACCACTAGAAAACCGAAATGACACTGTGGCTTAAGCAATAGAGCACTTGCCTTGAGCTGAAGAGCTCAGGGATAGCACCCAAGCCCAGAGTTCAAGCCCCACGACTGACAAAAAAAGGAAGCACAAATAGTAAGATCATAATCTAAGCTAACCTAGGCATAAAGTGAAGACCCTATGGTGAAAATAACCAATACTTAAAGGTGATGAGGAGTGGTTCAGATGTCTGCTTAGCAAGCCTGAGGCCCTCAGTACAGACCCCAGTATTACCAAAAGAAAAAGATGAGTAAATTATGTCCAGAATGGGACTAGGAGTTCTCTATGCAACCCACAAGGGTTGAATAATTAGTAGGTAGCTGAAACACTGTCTGAGAAGTATAAATTAAAGAAATGAATATCTTTCTGAGTCCAGAAATGATGTTATCATTGATGAATTAACACCTCACAATTGTTGATGAGATGAGAAACTTTCATCAAATACTTCACAGAGAAAACTGAAATATAAGTACAAAGTATCACCTAGAAAGAGATGGTCTTAAATTCCAGTGCCTCATAAGGCACTGGTTTAAAAACTCTAGAGAGCAAGCAGGATTTGGTGACATAAGTCTTTAATCCATGCCACTTGGGAGGAGAAACAGGAGGATGGAAAATTTAGGTCAGCCCAGGCAAAGTTAGGGAACCCTGTCCTGTTTCATAAGCAAAGTGCAAAAGGAAGGAAGGGAGGGAAAGAAAGAGAAGGAAGGAGAGAGAAGGAAGAAAAGGAAAAGAGAGAGGTGCTAAGAGCAGAGTTTATGTGGTAGAGTACTTGCCTAGCATACTTTAGGCCTTGGGTTCAGTCTCCACGTGTTACACACCTGTAGTCCTAGTTACTTGGGAAGTTGAGATAGGAAATAACCAACCTGGTCAACATAGACTCTATCTCAAAAACAACTAAAATAGGGTCTGGGAAGGTGGCTCAGTGGTAGAGCGCTTGCCTTGCATGCATGAGACCCTGGGTTCGATTCCTCAGCACCACATAAGCAAAAAGAAAAAAAGCCGGAAGTGGCGCTGTGGCTCAAGTGGTAGAGCACTAGCCTTGAGCTGAAGAGCTGAGGGACAGCGCCCAGGCCCAGAGTTCAGGCCACACGACCGGACCCAAAAAAAAACTAAAATACCTACATACACAGTATATGTAATATTAATTCATATATTCATATATAAAATCTCATTCCACATTATGTTTTATTGAACCAGAATTTCTACTAATATGCCTTAGGAATCTGAGTTTTATTGTTTTGGAGAGTTTGTGCCAGGTCTCAAAACCTAGGGCTTTATACATGCTAAACCCCACACTCGCAACCTATGCCCCCCAAGTCTCAGCAATACTTCTGATGGGGCAAATCTATATGAACCACCTTCATTTTACAGATGAGGACACTTAGAGTTTATCTGAACTTTTTTTGTGGTGATGTCTATTCATGTCAGAGCTAGATTCCTAGCTTCCTGTTTGTATGTAAAATTCCTTTCAATGTGAAAATTACTTTTAAACAAATAAGGAAATAAAATTGCTTGAAAATGAAGTAATTTCTTGTATATGGCTTAATGTAAACTATGGTCAAAAATAGTTATAAATGTGATTAGGAGGTTTAACAGGAATGATATATATGTCTCCTTTTTTAGGCGACTGAGTCAAAGACCAACACCAGAAGAACTAGAACAACGAAATATACTACAACGTGAGTCCAGTTATTTTATCATGCGCTGTGTGTGTGTGTGTTTGTGTGTGTCTCTATACTGAGACTTGAACATTTTTGCCTCATAGTCTTACTATTCAAAGAGAGTGCTTTACCACTTGAGCCACACCTTCACTTTTGGCTTTTTGGTAGTTATTTGGAGATAAGAGTCTCATTTGTCTGCCCAGGCTGGCTTGGAACCACAATCCTCAGATCTCAGCCTAGGATTACAGTAGGAGAGTAGCCTTGAGAGCTATAGTCATGAGCCATTGGCACCTGACAGTTGATGACTTTAAGTTATAAAGGAATAAGCATTTGCTAAGTGGACCAAAGAAAGTGTTCCTATCAAAACACAGTATCTTTTCTTCAGGGAACAAAGTTTTCGAAGCTTTGTTTGAAAGTTACTATCGTGTTATTGTTCAGTATATTGAAATATTCCAGAAAATACTATTTTAGTATTCTCAGAGAATCCTGGGACTACCTTGGGCATGACAGTGTGAGAGACACTTGTTCCAACTTTTCTTTGTCTTCAGGGAACCAACGTAGTAGCTGTACTCATAGATGAGAGTGGAATCTGAGGGCACAGAGCAAGTCCCCAGTTTCCTGGGTTTTCTGCAGCTCTTCTCTTTTTAAATCTTACTTCTACAGTCATCAAATAGAACCATATGTTTAATTTGTTGTCTGTGTACATAATGTTCTGAAATGGCATTCTAATCTATTATCAGTTAAAATTGCCAGAGATTGTAGCCATCAGGCCTTCACCATGTATTTCCTCACTGTCTTCCTGTTCCTCACTGTGGGGTCCTACTCAACATGACTCTTACCCATTGCCCCAAGCTCCTCTGTCAGCTACTCAGCTAACTCTTGGGACTGTACTCCCTTCACAGAACCAGCCTCCAGGAATACCCTAAGCCCCTGGAGGAGAGACTTTATCTGTCCTGTCACACCAGTGTCCTTGGGTTTCTCAAATCCTATCCCTCATCCCTACCCAGATGAGCTCTCCTAGGAAATGAACTTCAAGGTGGGACCAGGGATGAGGAACAAAAGAGGCCAGACGATGAAATAGAGGATGAGAATGGATGTTATAGATGTGGAAAGCCACACACTAAGTGTGCTTTTGGGATCAGCAAAGAGATGGGGATGTGACAGCCTTCTCTTCTGTGAAGTTGCTCTGGGCTTGCTGTCCCACCAATCCATCACCTGCCTTCAGCACTATTTAGGTATATTTAACTTAGTTACCTAGTGAATTTAAAATGTGAGAGGGGCTGGGAATGTGGCTTAGTGGTAGAGTGCTTGCCTAGCATGCATGAAGCCCTGAGTTCAATTCCTCAGTATCACATAAACAGATATGGGGCTGGGAAGATGGCTCAGTGGTAGAGCGCTAGCCTTGAGCTGAAGAGCTGAGGGACAGCACCCAGGCCAAGAGTTCAGGCCCCACGACCAGACCCAAAAAAAAAAAAAAAAAAAAAGCCAGAAGTGGTGGTGTGGCTCAAGTGGTAGAGTGCTAGCCTTGAGCAAAAGAAGCTCAAGGACAGTGCCCAGACCCAGAGTTCAAGCCCCAGGCCTGGCCCCCCCCAAAAAAATTGTGAGAACCTTTATAAACAGATGACATGAAACTTGGTGTGGTATCCATTGTCCATTCTTATCTATCACTCTTGAGCAAGAATCTGTAAACGTTTTTTAAAATCAGCATACATTAGTTGTACACAAGGTGTCTCATTGTGACATATCCCCACATGCATATCATATATCTAATCAGCCTCACCCTCCATCACTTCCATTGTCTGACTTCACCCTCTCAAACCCATCCCACAGGCATCAGCATTCGATTTCATTCACCTTCCTTGCCAGCCCAATAGGCTGCCCTACTTTTCTGTCATTTGTTTTTGTTTTTGTTTTAGTGGGCATTAGTTACATCAACAGATTTTACCTTGGTATTTCAGACATTCAGTCATATATTTTGTATAACCCTGTTAGCTGGGTGCCAGTGGCTCATGCTTATAATCCAAGCTACCCAGGATGCTGTGACCCAAGGGATCATTATTTGAAGCCAGCCCAGTCAGAAAAGTCTGTGAAACTTTTATCCCCAATAAACTATGTGGCAATGTGGCGCAAGTGGTAGAACATTACCCTTGAGGAAAGGGGGTGGGGGAAGGAAGGAGGGAAGAAAGGAGAAAGAGGGAGAGAGGAAGGAAGAAGAGAGAAAGAAAGAAAGAAAGAAACCTTATTTCTTTTCACACCAACTCCCTGACAAACTTTTCTTTCTTTTTTTTTTTTGGGGTCCAGTCGTGGGGCCTGAACTCTGGGCCTGGGCACTGTCCCTCAGCTCTTCAGCTCAAGGCTAGTGCTCTACCACTTGAGCCACAGCACCACTTCTGGCTTTTTTCTTTTTGCTTATGTGTGCTGAGGAATAGAACCCAGGGCCTCAGGCATGCAAGGCAAGCGCTCTATCACTGAGCCACCTTCGCAGCCCCTGACAAACTTTTCTTGAAGAATACATAGTAAATACTTTCCACTCCATAAACCAACAGCAAATGAAGATTCTTATGCAGATATTTAAAAGTGTTTTAAAATGTAAAAAATATTCTTAGCTCATTAGCAGTATAAACAAGCCAGTGGACAGATTTGGTACCATAGTTGGCTTATCATTACTTTTTTCTTTTTTTGTGTGTGTGCTGGCCCTGGGGCTTGAACTCAGGGTTATATTATTATATTATTCTTTTTGGGGGGGAGGGGTTCCAGTTGTGGGGCCTGAACTCTGGGCCTGGGCGCTGTCCCTCAGCTCTTCAGCTCAAGGCTAGCGCTCTACCACTTGAGCCACAGCGCCACTTCCGGCTTTTTTTCTTTTTGCTTATGTGGTGCTGAGGAATCGAACCCAGGGTCTCATGCTTGCAAGGCAAGCGCTCTACCACTGAGCCACCTTCCCAGCCCCTATTCTTATTCTTAAGTGAACGTACCCCTGAGAAAATTATTTTACTTAGCTATTACCAAAGGTATTTTATTCTGGTTTAGACCTACAAGAAATAAATCTGTAGTATAATTACAAAATGTTTTCTATGCAAATTGCGATTTTGAAGTAATATCCTTTGTTTCTGACTCAATTGCAGCTAAAAATGAAGCTGATCGTCAGGCAGAGAAACGAGAGATTAAACGGCGGCTCACTAGAAAGGTACTGCTTCTTCTGTAATCCCTTTCATTCTGGTAATTGGATGAACAATTGGATTAGAAATGAAGTAACTTCATAATGTAAAAAATAAGCACATATATGTAGAAAATAACATCAACAGCTTTTTGTGTTAGTACTGGGGCTTCAACTTAGGGCCTAGCACTCCCGCAGGCTTTTTCACTCAAAGCTGGTAGTCATGGGCTGGGAAGGTGGCTCAGTGGTAGAGCGCTTGCCTTGCACGCATGAGGTCCTGGGTTTAATTCCTCAGCACCACATAAACAGAAACACTGGAATTTGTAGCTCATGCCTGTAATCCTAGCTACTCAAGAGGCTGAGATCTAAAGATCTCAGTTCAAAGTTAGGCCAGCAGGAAAAAGTCTGTGAGACTTTCAGAAAACCAGAAGTGGCACTGTGGCTCAAATGCTAGAGCACTAGCCTTGAGCTGAAGAGCTGAGGGACAGCTCCCAGGCCCAGAGTTCAAGTCCCACGACAGACAAAAGAAAAAGCCATAAGTGGCACTGTGGCTCTAGTGGTAGAGTGCTAACCTTGAGCAAAAGAAGTTCAGGGACAGTGCCCACGCTCTGAGTTCAAGCCCCAGGACTAGCAAAATAAAGCTGGCAGTCTGCCACATGAGCCATATCTCCATGTCTGCTTTTTGCTGGTTAATTAGAGATCAGTGTCTCTGGCTCTGAACTGCAGTTCTCACATCTCATCCTCCTGAGTAAGTAGAATTATAGGCATGAGCCTCTAGCACTGACTTTTCTTTCATTATTAATATGTGAAAAAGACCTGGAACAATGTGTCTGATACTTTTTAGCCTTTCCTTTGGTAGGCTAGAATTTTGATATAGATTCTAAAACTTGGTGGAGTGTTTGAGTAAATTTCTTTGGTTTGTTTTGGTGGGCTATATATCAAACCCAGGATTTTTTTTTCTTTCTTTCTTTTTTTTTTTTTTTTTTAACCATTGAACCATGAGTTTTGAATTGTCTCCTATAGATTCTGATTTGGTCTAATGTCACTAGATATTTCTTAGAACTCTTAAGAATCCCCAGGAGAACAAGGGATCCAGATGTTGCTTTCTGGATTTATCCCACATCTTCCTTCAGTAGAAACAAAGCAGTAACTATTTATGGTTAGAGGCCACGGCCTCAGGTTGAGCAGGTTACCTGATGGTGCCAATGTAAATCATAATTTGTGGCAGAATCTGATGTCTGAATATTGTTAAAATAAAGTACACAAAATCGACACATTTTGGCGAGGAATGCTAGAGGGTGAACCCAGGACCCTCATGTGTTTTATCACTGAGCTACATCTTGAGTCCATTCTACCTTTAATCCAGATCCCCATGTGATCTGCACACTTACTAAAGTTTGAGAAGCACTAGGTTATAATTCTCAACCCTAGTTATCCAATTAAGTGATTTTCAAAATAATTTTCAGTTGGAGACATGGCTGAAGTAGTAGAATACCTACCTAGCAAGTGCAAGATCCTGAATTGAAATTCCAGTTGACCAGTCAATTGATAATAAACAAATTAACTGACATTTTTAAAATATTGCTATTATTAAGGTGTCATATAAAGTATCAGAGAGGTTACTATTTTTTTGTTTTTGTTTTTGTTTTTTTTTGTCGGTCGTGGGGCTTGAACTCTGGGCCTGGGCGCTGTCCCTCAGCTCTTCAGCTCAAGGCGAGCGCTCTACCACTTGAGCTACAGCGCCACTTCTGGTTTTCTGGTGGTTTATTGGAGATAGGAGTCTCACGGTCTCTCCTGCCCGGGCTGGCTTTGAACCTCGATCCTCAGATCTCAGCCTCCTGAGTAGCTAGGATTACAGGCGTGAGCCACCAGCGCCTGGCGAGGTTACTATTTTGTAAGCTGCTTCCTTTGCTTTCTCCCAATTTCCCCCTCACCTCCCTACCCACAGGTTGTGTAGTTCATTTTCCATGTAGTGTCTATTGAGTACCATATCTGCATTTGCTGACCCAGAATCTGTGAAGGATGGCACCCAGGGATTAATAATGGTTCCAGCTTTCCAAGTGGTGAAGGCAATTTAAGTACATTGTTGATGGCTTAGTTCTGTCATAATGAACCAAGAATTTCATTCTTTTCAGCTCAGTCAAAGGCCAACTGTGGCGGAACTACTTGCTAGGAAGATTCTGAGATTTAATGAATATGTAGAGGTCACAGATGCTCAAGATTATGATCGGCGAGCAGACAAACCCTGGACCAAATTGACTCCTGCTGACAAGGTAACTGCAAAATATTTCTCTCTGTCTCTCTCTCTCTCATTTTGATATGTTAAAATTTCAAAATGCCAAGATGTGCAACCAAAATTTTATGCTGTTAACTACTATTGACAATGAAAGACAAGAAAATGCACGTTGTATCATGGAGTTTTAGGGGAAAAATGAACAAAGTAAAAAACATTTTTAACCTAATTGATATTTAGTTAGAGGAACTTTAGGTGGTATATTTTAATAAATGTACATATTTCTCCTCTGTATTCTATTATATAAAAGCTATAATATCTCTTAAGCTTTTTGGACATTTTAGTGTAACTTGAAATTTAGTTATGAAGTTAATGGTGTCAAGGAAAGTCACATACATTGGCTCTCTCTGTTGATCTGGCTTCTTTGTCCCCTCTGGGTTGCTCACAATGGAAAGCACAATAGAGCTAAATGGCAAGTCTCACTGATATACCACAGCAGAAGATGATGAAATCTTATTTCTGCCCTACAGGCTGCCATACGAAAAGAATTAAATGAATTTAAAAGCTCAGAGATGGAGGTTCATGAAGAAAGCAAACATTTTACACGGTAAGGCCCCAAAAACTCAAATACTATGAGCTAAGTAAAATTTCCCCAGCAAAAAGCCATTGCTACCAGAGTTACTCAGAAATGAAGAATCATATCAACATCATTAAAAGGAGGACACTTAGTGAGATTGCAAGAACTGCATTCAGAGGAATGAATGAGAATTAAGGAGGGATGTTGCAGAACCAGGATTTAAAAAAAGGAATGAGTATCTTCAAAGCCATAGGAAGCTTTCCTCCTTAAATTAAGAGATTGTGCTGAGGTCAGGCATCACTAGCTCATGCCTTATAATCCTATACCTACTCAGGAATCTGAGATCTAAGGATTATAGTTTGAATCCAGCCTGGGCAGGAAAGTCTCTAAGATTTTATTCATTTATTTATTTATTTGCCATTCCTGGGGCTTGAACTCAGGGACCTGGGCACTGCCCCTAGCACTCTACCACTTGAGCCATAGCACCACTTCCGGCTTTTTCTGTTTATGTGGTACTGAGGAATTGAACACAGGGCTTCATGCATGCTAGGCAAGTACTTTACCACTAAGCCACATTCCTAGCCCCTTAAGATTCTTTTTTTTTGGTCAGTCATGGGATCTGAACTCTGGGCCTGTCAGAGTTCCCTCAGCTCTTCAGCTAAAGGCTAGTGCTCTACCACTTGAGCCACTTGCAGCTTTTTCTGCTTATGTGGTGCTGAGATATCGAACCCAAGACCTTGTGCATGCAAGGCAAGCACTCTACCACTGAGCCACCTTCCCAGCCCACCCTCCACTTAAGATTCTTATCTCCATTTAATCACCAAAAACCCAGAAGTAGAGCTGTGGCTCAATTGAGAATGGACATTTCATTCATAGATCCAATATGGTTTAATAGTCATTAGATTCCAGGATGAAATAAAGGAAATAGTTAATATGACTAATATTTCTTACAGCTCAGTGGTGCTGTGTGTAGGTATATGAGAAAAACTAGTAGATTGCTTATTTTTGAGACAAATAGTCTCCCTATGTCACCCAAGCTGACCTCTTAACTTCCTTTTTTGGGGGGAGGGGGGTTCGGTCGTGGGGCCTGAACTCTGGGCCTGGGCGCTGTCAGCTCTTCAGCTCAGGGCTTGCGCTCTTGAGCCACGGCGCCACTTCCGGCTTTTTTCTTTTTGCTTATCTGGTGCTGAGGAATCGAATCCAGGGCCTCATGCATGCAAGGCAAGTACTCTACCACTGAGCCACCTTCTCAGCCCAAGCTGACCTCTTAACTTTCTTTTTTTTTTTTTTTTTTTTTGGGTCCGGTCATGGGGCCTGAACTCAGGGCCTGGGCCCTTCCCTCAGCTCTTCAGCTCAAGGCTAGCGCTCTACCACTTGAGCCACAGCGCCACTTACAGCTTTTTTTCTTTTTGCTTATGTGGTGCTGGGGAATCGAACCCAGGGCCTCGAGCATGCAAGGCAAGCGCTCTACCACTGAGCCACCTTCCCAGCCCCTGACCTCTTAACTTTGTAAGTAGCCCAGGCTACCCTCCAATTTGAAATCCTCATGCTTTAACTTTCCAAATGCTAGGATTATTAGATGTAAACCTACCCTCCCAGTATAAAATAACAGTTCTTTAAAGGAAACTTTTTGTTGTTGTTGTCAGGTGTGGAGCTTGAACTCTGCCTGGGTGCTGTCCCTGAACTCCTCAGCTCAAGGCTAGTGCTCTACCACTTGAGTCATAGTACCACTTCCAGTTTTCTGATGGTTTATTGGAGATAAGAGTCTCAAGGAAGGTTGGGAAGGTGGCTCAGTGGTAGAGCGCTTGCCTTGCATGCCAGAGGCCCTGGGTTCGATTCCTCAGCACCACATAAGCAAAAAGAAAAAGCCAGAAGTGGCGCTGTGGCTCAAGTGGTAGAGTGCTAGCCTTGAGCTGAAGAGCTGAGGGACAGTGCCCAGGCCCAGAGTTCAGGCCCCATGACTGAACCCAAAAAAAAAAAAAAAGAGTCTCAAGGAAGCTGGGTGCCAGTGGCTCACACATGTAACCCTAGCTACTCAAGAGGCTGAGATCTGAGGATCATGGTTCAAAGCAAGCCCAAGCAGTTAAGTCCCAGAGACTCTCATGTCCAATGAACCACCAGAAAACCGGAAGTGGGGCTGGGAAGATGGCTCATCAGTAGAGTGCTTGCCATGTATGCATGAGGCCCTGGGTTCGATTCCTTAGCACCACATAAGCAAAAAAAGCCAGAGTGTACTATGGCTTAAGTGGTAGAGCACTAACAAGGAAAACCGGAAGTGGCGCTGTAGCTGAAGTGGTAGAGCACTTGACTGGAGCTCAAGAGCTCAGGGACAATGCCCAGACCCAGAGTTCAAGCCCTGTGACCTACACTACCACCACCACCCCTCCCCCCCGCAAAAAAAGTGTCAGAGGCATTCTGGCCTGGGACGGTTTGAACCTGATCCTCAGATAACCTCCTGAGTAGCTAGGATTATAGATGTGAGCTACCAGCACCAGGCAGGAACATTTTTAATTTATTTATTTATTTTTGGTTGTGGGGCTTGAACTCTGGGCCTGAGCGCTGTCCCTCAGCTTTTCAGCTCAAGGCTACCACTCTACCATTTGAGCTACAGCGCCACTTCCGGTTTTCTAGTGGTTTATTGGAGATAAGAGTTTCACGGACTTTCTTGGACTTTCTTGCCCGGGCTGGCTTTGAACCTCGATCCTCAGATCTCAGCCTCCTGAGTAGCTAGGATTATGGGCATGAGCCACCGGCGCCAGGCAGGAACATTATTTTGTATTTAAAAGATAGCTGGCTGCCAGTGGCTCACAACTATAATCATAGGTATTCAGTAGTCTGAGAGATCTGAGCTAAAGATCAAAGTTTGAAGCCAGCCTGGGGTTGGGGGGAAGTCTGTGAGACTCCAATCTCCAATTGACTACATAAAGCCCTAAGTGGAACTGTGGCTTTTTTATGTGGTAGTGTGTTGGCCTTGAGCAAAAATACTCAGGGACAACACCCACGCCGAGTTCTAGCACCAGGACCAGCACACACACAGAAAGAAAGAGAGGAAACAAACCAGGTCAAGATAGCACACTGAGGAGGAGTAATGAAAAAAAAAGAAAAGCTATGGAATATATATAATGTACTAATATTAAGAAAAAAATGAATTTCAAGAAGAGGGACAGGAAGTGGCACTGTGCATGAAGTGGTAGAGTGTTAGCCTTGAGCAAAAGAAGCTCAGGGACAGTGCCCAGGCTGTGAGTTCAAGCCCCAGGACCAGGGGCAGGGGAGATATAGATATAGATAGATAGATAGAGTCACAATATGGATTTATTTTTAAAAATTTAATAGACTTAACAAAGTAATCTACATTATCTGGTAACTTGCCTTTTCGTGGTTGTCTGTTTTAGCTACCATCGTCCATGATGCCCAAGTTTGAGAGAAGTAAAAGACTCACCCAAAACTTACAGGCTGTTTTGCTCCTGTCTTTGATCTTGGGAGTGACATATGGCAGGAACTTCAGCACTTGCCAGCACAGCCAGAATTGTATCTTCTGGGGTCTTGTTCTGGGGTGAATAGCACTTCTATGAATGTAGCCTTTCACTGGAATGGATTCTCCTGTGCTTCCCCTGGAGCAGAACCGAATGCTTTGTCACTGCTTTTGGACCTTCTGACATTGCAGCATACTTGTGGGGGTTTTCCCTCATCAACCACCAAAGTTTGAAGCCTGTAGCAGGTTCCCCAAGATGACTGCCTGTGCTGAGCCACAGTTTGCACCATTCGCCTTACCTATCCTGTTCTACTTGTGAATCCCACATGTATGGGCACTTGTTTCCAGCCTTCAAATCCACTTGTCAGTGGGAAAAGCCTTTCAGAGATCCACCCCAGCCTTCTCACATGGGGGACCCACTTCCCTAGGAAACTTGTGCACCACATCGCATGTCAGCAGGAAGCATTGCACTATACCTCTTGTAACACAGCAGTATAGTCCTTGTAAGGCCATCTAACCTGAGAGAAAGCTTGGGATCTGACATGGTCCTATTTTTTTTGGCACTTGTCTTCCTGATTTTAATTTTTTTTTTTTTTTTTTTGTCAGTCATGGGTCTTGAACTCTGGGCTTGGGCGCTGTCCCTGTGCTCTTCAGCTCAAGGCGAGCACTCTACCGCTTGAGCCACAGCGCCACTTCCAGTTTTCTAGTGGTTTATTGGAGATAAGAGTCTCATGGACTTTCCTGCCTGGGCTGGCTTTGAACCGTGATCCTCAGATCTCAGCCTACTGAGTAGCTAGGATTACAGGCGTGAGCCGCCAGCGCCCTGCTTTGATTTTCACTTTAAAAGGATCTACAGGGCCAGGTGCCATTGGCTTATACCTGTGATTCTAGCTACTCAGGAGGCTGAGATCTGAGGATTAAGGTTCAGTGTCAGCCTGGGTAGAAAAATTTGTGAGACTGCTAGCTCCATTAGCAAAAAAGCCAGAAGTAAAGCTGTGACTCAAGTGGTCGAGCACTAGCCTTGAGCAAAAAAACTCAGGAACAGCGCCCAAGCCCTGAGTTCAAGCCCCAGGACTGGCACCCCAAAAACAAAAAAAAAAATATCTTGAAGAAGTAATGAGGACTTAATTCCTGCCTATTAGACAGTTTGAACTGCAACTAGAATCCTAAGTTGGTCAAATCAGAAACTCATGTCTATTTCCTATATAAAGAAGGCCTTACTATTAATACCAAGTTGGCAAAAAACTGACTCATGGCTTTAAATTTTACAGTAGGTTGAACTTGTTTGTTTGCAGTCTATTTTGTCTGAGACAGCCCTTGCTGTGTTTCCCAGGCTGACCTCTAACTCAGCTATCTTCCTGCCTGAGCCTCCTGAGGGCTGGGATTACCAGTGTGCATCACTCTCTCAGCTAGGTTATTATACTTTTATTGTACTGAATGATACTGTAAATCACTTCAACCAATAGATGTATTCTCATCAAGCAGAGTTGGAGGGACTTTATCCAAGTTCTTGTGTGCTGGCAGCCCCCACATTCCGGGCAGTCCTAGTCAGGTCCTAAGCAATGTGGGGTGCTGGATAGAAAAGCACAGGAGGGGGCTGGTTGTGGCCCACTGCTGACCTCAGGGCTGTGTACACATTCCCTCTTAATGCCAACACAGTCCTCCTGCTGGCCCTCTGACAGTCCCACCTGAGTTGCTGTTCCTTGTCACCCAGCCAGTATGATTGGTACCTAGGCGCTGACTCAGCTCTCACCCCATTTGTATTCGAAATAGATACTCATATAATTTCCTAATACAGAGGTTTGGTTATTTTCCTTGAATTTCTACTGAAAACCATATAGCCTCATCATTTACCTCTTAATTCTTACCTATAAGTGAGAAAAATAGTTCCTATTTACCTGGAGCATGTGGCTTTGTTTTCTTCACTGGTAATATTTAGGAAATTGTGCCTGTTTTATAGATTAGACCATTTTTTTCTGTGATGTCAGTTTTTTTCTTTCTGTATGAAGCCTTTCAGAAGATTTTTCTGCTTTCACATCTACATCAAATTTGCTAAAGATTTTTAAAAAAATTGTTTTTGCTAAAGAATGTCAGCTCGGGCTGGAAATGTGGCTTAGTGGTAGAATGCTTGCCTAGCAGGCATGAAGCCCTGGGCTCAATTCCTCAGTACCACATACACAGAAAAAGCCAGAGGTGGCGCTGTGGCTCAAGTGGTGGAGTGCTAGCCTTGAGCAGAAGCAGCTCAGGGACAGTACCCAGGCCCTGAGTTCAAGCCCTAGAACTGGCAAAAAAAAAAAAAAATGTCAACTCAAGTGTGGCACTATTGGTTCACACCTGTAATGCTAGTCACTCAGGGGTCTGAGATCTGGAAAATCACAGTTCAAAGCCTTCTGGGCGGACAAGTATGAGAGACTTTGACTTTAAAATAACCAGCAAAAACAGGCTGGTGATGTGGCTCAAGTAGTAGAGAACATTAGCCCAGAAAGTGCTGGAGAAAAATAGTGGCTCAAAACAAAGAAGTTACTGTGACTTTGAAAAGTAGTGTTTTGTGTTTGGGGCTGGAGGCATGGCTCAGCAGTATCACGCCAACCTAGCATGTACAGGGCTCTGAGTTCAAACCACAGTACTGCCAAGTGTGGTGGGTGGGGGTGGGGGACATGGTATGTTTTTAGTCTGAAGAAGAGCCCCAAAAGAGAAGTTCCATGGTAGAGCACTTACCTGGGATGTACAGGACCCTGTATTCAACTGCTAGCACTGCAAAGAAATAAGTAATGTTTTCACTTTTGTGTAGGGAAAAAGGGGAATTCAGATTTCTGTATTACTGTCAGATGTTTTGTAGCTATGGAAAAATACTGGCTCCACATCTCCTTAAAAGCCATTAACACCAGCCTAGCTGAGAGCTCCTTGGGGGTTCTAAGAATCTATTAAAGGTCTAGATACAAAGTAGGCACATACTAACTGCTAACTTGACTTGTAACCATTCTGTCTTGTTGGTTTGGAGACTGCTTGGCTAAGCCCCCAGGTCTGGCTGAGGTGATGTTTGCAAGGTTTTCATCCATTGCCTTTCTTTTGCTGTGCCAAGCTTGACACAGAGTCCAGCAACCTGAGCTACATTTCTGCTTGTATGTGCCATCAAGGATTCTGCTTTATCTTTCATCTCATTCATGCTCTTTTTACAAGATATTTTGGAAGTGGAGTCTTTGTAGTGTTTGGGTTTTTTTTTTTTAATGTATAAAAATGGATTTTGTGTTCCCTTTATCTGTTAGAAGTTCACAATCGTAATGTAAAAAGGAAAAGCCTGATGTATTGTACTTCAAGATGTTTCCCTGATGTACAGAATCTCCTTGTAAAATATAAAATTGCATTGTATATCAGTCTTTTCACCAATATTAAAATAATTATTAAAGTATTTTAGAAGATTAAAATATCAAACAATTTTTGTGTGAATTATATTTTATGTTTTACTTTATTCCAGAAGATCAAAGCCACCTCAAAAATATTAGCCACACCAAGCACTGTTAGCTCATGCCTATAATCCTAGCTACTCAGCAAGCTGAGATCTGATGGTGGTGATTCAAAGCCAGCCTAGGCAAGAAAATGAGACTCTTATGAGACTCTTATCTGCAATTAGCCACCAGAAAATTGGAAGTGGTGCTATGCCTCAGTAGAGTTGAGCAAAAGAGCTCAGAGACCATGCCCATGCCCTAAGTTCAAGCCCCATGACTGACAAAAAAAAAAAAAAAAGCCAAGAGCCAGCCCAGACAGAAAGGTCTGTGAGACTCTGTTTTTTTGTTTGTTTGTTTTGTCAGTCGTGGGGCTTGAACTCTGGGCCTGGGCGCTGTCCCTCAGCTCTTCAGCTCAAGGCGAGCGCTCTACCACTTGAGCTACAGCGCCACTTCCGGTTTTCTGGTGGTTTATTAGAGATAGGAGTCTCACAGTCTCTCCTGCCCGGGCTGGCTTTGAACCGGGATCCTCAGATCTCAGCCTCCTGAGTAGCTAGGATTACAGGTGTGAGCCACCAGCGCCCGGCTTCTGTGAGACTCTTATCTCCAATCAGCTATTCAGAAAAAGCCGGAAGTAGAACTGTGGCTTGAGTGCTAGAGCACTTTTTTTTTTGGAGGGGGGGTCTGGTCGTGGGGCCTGAACTCTGGGCCTGGGCGCAGGCTAGCACTCTACCACTTGAGCCACAGCGCCACTTCCAGCTTTTTTCTTTTTGCTTATGTAGTGCTGAGGAATCAAACACAGGGTCTCAGGCATGCAAGGCAAGCGCTCTACCACTGAGCCACCTTCCCAGCCCCTAGGGCACTATCTTTGAGTACAAAGAAGCTCAAGGGCAGTACCCAGGCCCTGAGTTCAAGTCCCAGGACCAAAATTAAAAAAAAAAAAAAAAAAAGCCAAAGCCAGGTATGATGTGTCACATCTATATGTACTCTCAGCTACTCAAGAGGTAGAGATCTGGAAGACTGAGGTCTGGACAAAATATTAGCAAGATTTAACCAATAGCTGGGTTTGGTGGTACACAGCTGTCATCCCTGCTAAGTGGAGAAGCACAAGTAGGATCTCAGTCTAGGCTAGCCGAGGCAGGAATTGGAGATTTTATCTAAAAAATAATCAAAAACAAAAGGCTAGAAATGACTTAAGGTAGATCACCCACCTAACAAATGTGAGGCCCTGAGTTTAGTCTCCAGTACAATTTAAAAAGGAAAGAAAATACCAGAATTATTTTTTATGACCCTAGAAAAGTAGATAAGGAGGAAAATGTACATACTGAATTCACCCAGAGGTGAATCAGGTATGTGTCTGAGCCAACTATGAGTCCCCTAGGTATCAGGTACTGTCTCAGGCACTGTGTTGAGCCTACCTTAACCCATTACATGATACTGTATTACACTACCTTTCCTAGAAGCTAATGCAACATAACTTTAGCAACATTTGCTTCCTCAAGGCCAAAGGAAATTATGTAACCACTCTCAAATATTCAAGGTAAGACACTTGCATCAATTATTTACCTGATACAGACCACATCACAAAAGAACAGTTTGTGCTTTCTGTCTTTTCTGGCAAGCACCCCAGTTTTAATCCAGGTGGCCTCCTCAGTGGCTTTTTTTTTTTTTTTTTGGTCATGGGGCCTGAACTCTGGGCCTGGGCTCTGTCTCTTAGCTCTTCAGCTCAAGGCTAGCGCTCTACCCCTAGAGCCACAGAGCCACTTCTGGCTTTTTCTGCTTATGTGGTACTGAGGAATCAAACCCAGGGCTTCATGCATGCCAGGCAAACACTCTACCACTGAGACACCTTCCCAGCCCACAACTCACTTTCCACTTGTTACTTCAGATACTGACCTTGTTTAGCACAAGAGTTAAAAGAAACCATGAGGGGCTGGGAAGGTGGCTTAGAGGTAGAGTGTTTGCTTAACATGCACGAAGCCCTGGGTTTGATTCCTCAGTACCACATAAACTGAAAAAGCTGGAAGTGGTGCTGTCAAGTGGTAGAGTACTAGCCTTGTGGCAAAAAGCAGCTCAGGGACAGCACCCAGGCCCTGAGTTCAAAACCCAGAACTGGCAAAAGAAAGAAAGGAAGAAAGAGAAGGAAGGAAAGAAAAAGAAACCATCATATCATTGGTTTTTCCCTGCTCTCAGATTGCTTAGCTTCCAGTTACTTTTCCTCTTTTTGGTTAAACTGGCCTCAGAAGAATGTTTTTGTGTTAGTCCTGAGGCTTAAAGGGTCTCTCCATACTCTTCACTTAGCTTCTTAGCTCATGGCTGGTGCTCTAACAGTTGAGTCAAGCTTTATACTGGTTAATTGGATAGAGTCTTGCAGACTTTTCTCCCCATGAGAATTTTGAACTAAGATTCTCAAAGTTCAAAGAGCCAAGATTACAGGCATGAGGGCTGGGAAGGTGGTTCAATGGTAGAGGGCTTGCCTCTCTCAAGAGGTACAGTGCAGGGCTGGGAAGTTGGCTCAGTGGTAGAGCGCTTGCCTTGCATGCCTGAGGCCCTGGGTTCGATTCCTCAGCACCACATAAGCAAAAAGAAAAAACCCGGAAGTGGTGCTGTGACTCAAGTGGTAGAGCGCTAGCCTTGAGCTGAAGAGCTGAAGGACAGTGCCTAGGCCCAGAGTTCAGGCCCCATGACCGGACCCAAAAATAAAATAAAAATAAAAAAATAAAAAAAAAGAGGTACAGTGCAAAAAGAAGTTCAGAGATAGCACCCAGGCCCTGAGTTCAAGCCCCAGGACTGGCAAAAAAGAAAAAAAGAGGGGGGGGCAAGTCCAGTGAATTTGCAACAGGCAAGGAATCCTATAAAAGAAGAAAATGGGCAATAACAAAAAAGCCTAGTCACAAAAACACAACACAGCTTAAAACATTGCTTCAAGGTTCTATTTCATTCGTACCTGGGTCACACGAAGTGAAACCCAACAGCAAGCTGGACCTCTTGCACCATTTGTGTGCATACTGTTCATTTCTTCCTCCATAAATTTCTGCTTCCAAATACAGTTCATCATCTCAACAGGGGCAGATCCTTTTACCTTCCTACTATGTGGTTCTGGGAACACACACCGTCTCCCACCTCTCTTCCCTACCCCTTATTTTCTTTCTATCCTCCCCCCTTTCTTCCCTGCCAATTTTTCCCCTTCTTCAAACTATTATTTTTAAAATTAAACACTTAAATGCCTATCCAGTCCAAACAGTTGAGCTTAATGATTGACAAGTGAAAGAAAAAGACTCCATGGAGATGTGACCTGAACAAGGATACTTGAGCCAACTCTGGGTTCTAGACATGACTTACAGATATAGACAGGTCTTAGGCACGCTGGTCAGTGCACAGTTTTGCCTTTCTAAAAATCTTGTTCACTACACTCAAAATCTAAACTCTATCCAAGCTAAACTGCTTTTACTAAGATCACCAGAAACCTCAGTTAACTTAAGGGCTGTTTTCACTTAATCTAGTCTACATCATTAGCAATGTGTGTGTGTGTGTGTGTGTGTGTGTGTGTGTTTGTATCTCACACTTTCCAGGCACACAGTTCACCATTCTGGCCACACCCCCAGCCTACATTTGATGCTTTTAGGTCATGTGCTCTTCAGCTCAAGGTGAGCACTCTACCACTTGAGCCACAGCGCCAATTCCGGTGTTTTGGTGGGTTTTTTTGGAGGTAAGAGTCTCACGGACTTTCCTGCCTGGGCTGGCTTTGAATCGCGATCCTCAGATCTCAGCCTCCTGAGTTGCTAGGATTATAGGTTTGAGCCACTGGCGCCCGGCTTTTTTGTCTTTGTTTTTGCCAGTCAGGGAGCTTGAACTCAGAGCCTGGGCGCTGTCCCTGAGCTGCTTTTGCTCAAGGCTAGCACTCTACCACTTGAGCCACAGCGCCACTTCTGGCTTTTTCTGTGTATGTGGTACCATGGAATCGAACCCAGGGCCTCGCGCATGCAAGGCGAGCGCTCTACCACGGAGCCACAGACCCACCGTCTTTTGCATTTCTCCAGTTGTCTTTTTCAATTACTCCCAACTTTTTTTTTTTTTGGCCAGTTTATCTGATCATCCACCCCACAGACCCGGTAAACCGGATGTAAAGAAGAAAACTTCTTTCTAGTTAACTGCCCCACAGCGCTGTTTCTTCTTACATTCTAGAGACAAATTTCGGCGCTTGGGCTGAGGTATCGCGAGAGTTCTCTACTTAGGGAGGCGTGGCACTCAGCCGTGACTCCCAGCAACCTTAGCGAATCGCCGCTCCCGCGGAGCGTCTCTGGGACCGCGCAAGCGCAGTAGCCAATACGTGGCTTCCTTCCGGTCTTGTACTTAAGGTATAAATACGGATGCTTTGCGCCGCCTCAGTCTCTTGGAGAATCGCAGCTGCTGTGGACGCTTTCCCTCTGGTAAGTGCCCCGGCGCCCTCGCCTCGGGCGGCCTCCGTGGCAGCCGCGTGGGCCTCGCGCTCGGGCTGGCGCGCTGAGGCCCGCCATTTCATGCGGGTCTCGCCGCCGGTGGCCGTCGGCGCCGCCTCGAGCCCCCGCCGATCGAGTGGGTGTTAGCGAGTTCAGAGCCCGCCCTACGCACAGCCTCTGCTCCGGTGAATGCTGAAGCAGTCTCCGTAGTCCAGGTTCTTCTCCAGCTCTGGGTCTTCCCGCCTCCCAAGTCCCGGGGGTTCAGCCTTTGTAGGCACCCCGGTGCCAGGGGATGGAAGAGGGCTTAGCCGGTATCAGTCAGCACTGAGCCACCTGCGCTTAGGACGCACCAGTGGCTTTTTGTTTTTGAAGTCTGCCTATGCCAGCAGGTAATCGCGGGTTATCGTGGATGTGGTTAATTCCTGACCCCAGCCTAGCCACTGAGGATCCAAAAGGATAAGGGTAGCGGTCTGGGCCCTGAGTTACAAGCACCAGTACTGCCAAAATGAGCTTAGGATAAGAAATGATGCTACAGTGGAGTTAGGTTAGTGTAAGATTGTACCAACATGGACACCCCGGGAGGTCACTCTCCCCGGGCTCTGTCCTCGTGGCCTAGGGGAGCATAGGGCTCTGCCCAACGATGTATAGTCCCTTTCCACAATGTTGGATATGAAGCCGGGCTTTTGTGTCTGCGCCTGCATATTCCTACAGCTTCCCAGAGTCCTGTGGACAGTGACTGGGGAGATAAACCATGCAGGAAACAGTCACACACTTTGGTGTGGGTGTGAGCTAATATTTTGCCGTTGTAGTTTAAGTCTTAGTAGGATTGACTTTTAGTCTTGTTATATTCATTTATGAATGCCTTCTTTTGCAGAAGTCTGGATTTCACATGACTGCTTCAGGGTGAGTGAACTTCAGTCTTTTGAGAGAAAAATTAGATGCAGTCACTAGTATAGGTGGAATGTAAAAATGCTAATACATTCTACATGAGTGACTATTCTGTTCAGAACTAGACATTCCAACATGGACACCCCGGGAGGTCACTCTCCCCGGGCTCTGTCCTCGTGGCCTAGGGGGGAGCATAGGGCTCTGCCCAATGATGTATAGTCCCTTTCCACAATGTTGGATATGAAGCCGGGCTTTGTGTCTGCGCCTGCATATTCCTACAGCTTCCCAGAGTCCTGTGGGCAATGACTGGGGAGATAAACCATGCAGGAAACAATGTATATATAGTACATGTGCACTGAAATTAATGCTTGATAGATTTCTAGTCTGATTATATGCCTATTTTCATGCAGGAAAGAAGAGGAACCACATACTAATTTCATCCATTGCCCTGATTACGGTTTGAAGTTCACTAATGCTGAATTGTGATTTTTTTTTTTTTGTCAGTGGTGGGGCCTGAAGTTGGCCTGGGCACTGTCCCTGAGCTCTTAAACTCAAGGCTAGCGCTCTACCACTTGAGCCATCTTCCCAGCCCTTTACCAGCATTCTTTTCCAGCCATAATTGGGTGGGTGGATTGTCTCCTGTAAATGTTAAACTTCTCAATAAATTTGAAGTGGTTGAAATGTCTTGTGTTTTTCCTTTAATCCAGTGTGTATCAAACATGCGCCTAAATGTTGCTGTTTGTGCCTTTAACATAGTAGTATAAGGTCTGCTTTTTGAAATGGCACACTGACGTGCTGTGACTTAAGAGCCTACCTCATGTGGTGTCATAATAGAAAAACTTGCCAAGCCCCTACACTGCCTGCCAGCAGTTTGAAGGTTAAGGCCCAAGGCTCTGAAGGATGGGGACCAAGGGGGAGCCACCAACTAGTTACAGTGGAGCAGGTTCGTGGCAAGTGTGGGCCTCTGGGTGTTCAGGATTTACCATTGAGATACTGTTGGCTTTAGTGTCAAGTACTGGTCCGCTTTTTGCCATAACGTTCTATGAACCTTGCTAGTGAGGAAGTCAGGTTGTATAGCCAGACTGGTTCAACTGAACTGTTATTTTGGGCTGTACACTGGTAGAAAACAGCAAAGCTTTTTCCAAGTAGCAAAGTGTTGGGCTCAAATACGGATGCAAGGCCCTGGGTTGAAGCCTCAACCAGTGCATGTACATATATACAAGGTGTGCCCACGACTTGTGTTCATTCCCCAGAACAGATGAAGTGCCAGCAGCCGTGCGGAGGTTTTTTAATTGTAAAGAACTACAGACAGTTGGAGTTACATGAATAGGATAATGAGTACATTCCTGTCAAGCATTGTTACCCCCTCCAGTCATGAGGCTTTGAAAAATGCCATGTAATGTCTGCCCTGGGTTAGGTAGAAATTTTTTTCTGGACCTGGGCACTGTCCTTCAACCCAAGGTGAGCACACTAGCACTCAAGCCACAGTTCCACTAACAACTTTATCTGTGTGGTGCTGAGGATTCAATCCCAGGGCCTCATGCATGCACTCTACACTGAGCCACCTTCCCAGCCCCAGAATTTATTCCTGAACTCGGCCTGGGCGCTGTCCCTCGGCTCTTCAGCTCAAGGCTAGCTCTACCACTTGAACTACAGGGCCACTTCTTTTTCTGCTTATGTGGTGCTGGAGGAATTGAACCCAGGGCCTCATTCATGTGAGGCAAGCACTCTACCTACCACTGAGCCTGCTTCCCAGCCCTGGGATGAAATGGAAGAAATGAGAGGTAATAGCTGGTAATGTTGGTGGTAGAGTGCATGAAGCCCTGGGTTCCATTCCTCAATACCAATGTAAAAAGTACAGGAACAGACAGGCTGAAGAGGTCAGAAGAGAAGTTCTTTAGCCTAGAAGAGCAGAAATAGTAACATGACAGGAAGTCAAGGGCAGAGAATTTAAGAGAGGGGCTGGGAAGGTGGCTCAGTGGTAGAGTGCTTGCCTCACATGCATCAGGTCCTGGGTTGGATTCCTCAGCATCACCTAAGTAGAAAAAGCTGGAAGTGACTCAAGTGGTAGAGCTCTATCCTTGAGCTGAAGAGCTGAGGGACAGCACCTAGGCCCTGAGTTCAGGCCCCATGACTGCCAAAAAACTTCAGAGATCCCTAGTAAGCAGTGCTTAGAAGGGGGAGGTAGAGATCCCTAGATTCACTGGGAAGCTGTTTTTTGTTATTGGTTGTGGGGCTTGAACTTGACCTGGACACTGTCCCTTAGCTCTTCAACTCTACCACTTCAGCCACACCACTTAAGGCTTTTTGGTGATTGGCGATAAGAGCCTTAGGGATTTTCTTTGCTTGAGCTGGTTTTGAACCATAATCCTCAGAGTTTAGCCTCTTGAGTAGTTTGGATTACAGGCATGAGCCACCAGTGCCTGGCTGGAAAGTGGTTTTATTTTAGACTCCTGGTTTAAAATGTTGAGTCTTTTGAGTAGAAATGTAGGGATGTAACTTAAAGTAGAGATCAGAGAATCAGCCCAGTCAGGCTGAAAAGTAGTGGGTTTCACCGGGTGCCAGTGGCTCATGCCTGTAATCCTAGCTACTTAGGAGGCTGAGATCTGAGGATTGTGGTTCAAAGCCAGCCTGGGCAAGAAAGTCCATGAAACTTATCTCCAATAAACCACCAGAAAACCGGAAGTGGCGCTGTGGCTCAAGTGGTAGAGCCCTAGCCTTGAGCTGAAGAGCTGAGGGACAGGGCTCAGGCCCAGAGTTCAAGCCCCACGACCGACAAAAAAAAAAAAAAAGTAGTGGGCTTGGAGGCTGAGGATCTGAGCCATAGCGCTCTCCTGTCCTAACCTGCAGGATGTCTGCTTTCATCCACACAGCCCAGCTTCCCTTCCACTACGTATGTGCTTATTCTACACAACTTAGTTGACTTCTCTCAATCTCACAAAGTTTCTATAAAAACAAAACATCTAATTCATGTGGGGTGAGGGGTTTCTGATAGAATAGGTAATCATAATCATTTATTTTATAATTAAGCCAAGTGAATGAATACAATCTGGAAGGAAGACAGCAGAGAGATCAGAGATCCCAGGGTCAAAGCTTGGGGAAGCTTCACAGAATATCATCCAAAAAAGGAATCCATGATGGAGGCAGAGGTAAACTTAAACAGGTAAGAAACTAAAGACAGGCGCTGATGGGAATGCTTTGGGGTGGACACATAAACCAAGGAGAAATTCACTGGAGAAACACTCATCAAAAATGTAAATTTAGCCGGGCCCTGGTGGCTCACGCCTGTAATCCTAGCTACTCAGGAGGCTGAGATCTGAGGATCGTGGTTCAAAGCCAGCCCGGGCAGGAGAGACCGCGAGACTCCTATCTCCAATAAACCACCAGAAAACCGGAAGTGTCACTGTAGCTCAAGTGGTAGAGCGCTCCTCTTGAGCTGAAGAGCTGAGGGACAGCGCCCAGGCCCAGAGTTCAAGCCCCATGGCTGACCAAAAAAAAAAAAAATGTAAATTTAAGGCTGGGACGTTGGCTCAGTGGTAGAGTGCTTGCCTCGCATGCATGAAGCCCTGGATTCAATTCCTTAGCACCACATAAGCAGAAAAAAGCCAGAAGTGGTGCTGTGGCTCAAGTGGTAGGGCACTAGCCTTGAGCTGAAGAGCTTGGGAACAGTGCCCAGGCCTAGAATTCAAGCCCTATAACTGACCAAAAAAAAAAAAAAATGTAAATCTGGGGGCTGGGAACGTGGTTTAGTGGTAGAGTGCTTGCCTAGCATGCATGAAGCCCTGGGTCCAGTTCCTCAGTACCACATACATAGAAAAAGTTAGAAGTGGCGCTGTGGCTCAAGTGATGGTGTGCTAACCTTGAACAAAAAGCTGCTCAGGTGGCTGGGAAGGTGGCCCAGTGGTAGAGTGCTTGTCTTGCATGTATGAGGCCTTGGGTTCTATTCCTCAGCACCACATAAGCAGAAAAAGCCAGAAGTGGCTCTGTGGCTCAAGTGGTAGAGCGCTAGCCTTGAGCTGAAGAGCTGAGGGACAGCACCCAGGCCCAGAGTTCAGGCCTCACGACCAACACCCCCCCCCCCCCCGAGAAAAAAAAAAAAAGACTGCTCAGGGACAGTGCCCAGTCCTTGAGTTCAAGCCCTAGGACTGGCAAAAATCAGCTGGGCACTGATGGCTCACACCTGTAATCCTAGCTATTCAGAAGGCTGAGATCTGAGGATCCTGGTTTGAAGCCAGGCTGGCAGGAATTCATGAGACTCATCTCCAGTTGACACCCCCACCCCACCCACTCCTCCCCAAAAAAGCCAGAAGTAGAGCTGTAAGTCAAGTGATAGAGTGCTAGCCTTAAGTATAAAAGCTCAGGATAGTGCCCAGGCCTTGAGTTCAAGGTTCAGCACCAGCACTAGGAAAAAAATTAAAAAGTACATCTAGTGCCCTTCAATAATAGATAAATGGATAAAAGAAAAAGAAAAGGTACTTTTACGCAGTTGTCATATGCAGGGAAATGGATGGACCTAAAACAAATCATGTTAAGTGAGGTAAGCTAAGCTCAGAGCTGGCTCATGTTTCCTCTCATTCGTGAAAGCTAGATCTGAAATACGCTGGGCATGATAAACTATATAGGACAAACAGTGAGACTAAAGAGGAATACTCCGAGGCTAGGTACCCAAGGCACAACGCTTCTGAACACTTAAAATACTATTTATTGAAATTAATTCCAGGAATTGAAAATGGGTTTTTTGTTGGTAGTGGTGGTGTTTGTTTTTGCTTTTGATTTTGTTTGTTCTTTTTTCTTTTTTTTTTTTTTTTGTCGGTCGTGGGGCTTGAACTCGGCCTGGGCGCTGTCCCTCAGCTCTTCAGCTCAAGGCGAGCGCTCTACCACTTGAGCTACAGCGCCACTTCCGGTTTTCTGGTGGTTTATTGGCGATAGGAGTCTCAAGGTCTCTCCTGCCCGGGCTGTCTTTGAACCGCGATCCTCAGATCTCAGCCTCCTGAGTAGCTAGGATTACAGGCATGAGCCACCAGCGCCCGGCTTGTTTGTTCTTTTTTCTATCTTTTGGGGAGGTAAGGAGGGACATAGAAGGATGAACGAATGCAAGCATGGTACTCAGTAGACAAAGTAGAAAATGAGCTATACAAGAATTGGAGAGGGGTGTGGGGGGAGGCTGGGAAGAGAAGGGAAGGGGAAACAAAGGAGGAGGCTACAATGCTTGATAAGAAATGTACTCATTATTTTGCCCATCTAATTGTAACCCCTCTGTACAGTATTTTCACAATAAAAAATAAATAAAAATTAAAAAAAAAAAGAATTGGAGGGGGAAACTGGGAGAAAGCAGA